CCATCCTCCCTCCCGGGCACCCAAGTCACTGAGAAAGAGGCAAGCTGATTCCAGGAAGCCCTCGGGCACTCGCCCTCAGGCACAGGCGGCTCTGTCCCACTGGATGGGAGGGAGGGGAAGGGGTTTTCAGGGGCTCTTCACTGGCTATGGCAGCAGCCCCTTTGCTGGACCAGTTCTGCAGCCCACCAGGCTCCTTGCTGGTTCCTTCGTGCCACATGCCATCCCCACAGGCAGGCAGCATCCTGCCCCAAATCACTCAACTCTGTCAAGAAATAAGGACGGTCCGCCACATACCAGCACGCTGCAGATACAAAGCATCTTTACAAAGGGAGGACAGGAAACGGGGCGGAGAGACAGCACAGCAGAGAGGGCACTGGCCCTGCATGTAGCTGACCCAGGCTGGGTCCCCAGCATCCCATATGGTCTCCCAGAGTCCCACCAGGAGTGATTCCTGAGTGCAGAGCCAGAAGTCACCCCTGAACATCATGGGTTGCGACTCCATAAGCCATAAAAGGAGGGAAGGAGGGAGAGGAGAGGAGAGGAGAGGAGAGGAGAGGAGAGGAGAGGAGAGGAGAGGAGAGGAAGAGGAAGGAAAAGGAGGAAGGAAGAAAAGAAAGGAAAGAAGGGAGGGAGAGAAGGGAGCAAGGAAGGGAGGGAAGGGAGAGAGGGAGGGAGGAAAGAAGGAAGGAAAAGGAGGGAAGGAGGGAGGAAGCGCAGTGAAGCTGGCCCTTCAGCAGAACACCTCCGCAGATGAAGCCTGAGCGCTCCCCAGGAAGGGTACTTAGCCAGAAACTGCGGTGAATTTATTGCCTGCTGTTAAGCAATAAAGGGCAGGTTCAGCTCCGGAGCCTAGGTTTGAATTCCAACTCCGGCACCTCCCGGCCGGCCGGCCGGGTCACTATGGACGAGTTGCTCAACCTACCTCAAACTGGCTCAGCTCTGAACGGCCATCAGTGGCCTGGATGACGCGGTCCCGTCGGCCGAGGCAAAGGTTGGGGACCGACCGTACCGCGCAGGCCCACGTCAGCCGCCTCCCAGCCACAGACACTGCTCCCGAGACGGAGGTTGGAGAAAGACTAGGCACTCCCGCCTCAGTGCCCGGCCACCACGGGAAGGCAGGGGTTCAGCAGGGGGGCGCAGGGGGTCTGGAGAGCCTCGCAAGGGCCCTGAGCACAGGGCCGGGAGCAACCCTGAGCACCGTGGGCAGGGGTAGGGGGACTCAAACTCCCCCCAAAATAAACATTTCAGGGGAAGTGAAGCAGGCTCTCCCCCAGCAATCTCTTCACCGTAGTAGAAACAGCTTCAAACAGCTGCCCTGGGGTGGAGAGAGAATACAGTGGGGAGGGCGCCGGCCTTGCACCCATCTGACCCGGGTTCGATCCCCGGGATCCCACATGGTTCCCCTGAGTTCCACCAGGAGTGATTCCTGAGCAAAGAGCCAGGAGTAAGCCCTGAGCACCGCCAGCTGTGGCCCAAAACGTACACTTAAAAAAAAAAAAAACTATCAGAGAGATTTTACAGGGATTAAGGACAGCCGCTGGCAGCCAGATCTCCAGCACCACACACGCTCCCAGGAAGGGAGTCCCAGCACTGCTGGGTGTGGCCCCGATCCCAAATAAATAAAATACCTGCCCTCTTCTGAGCATCACTGAGCCGTGAGCAACAGCACACGCGCCACGACTCTGCTCACAGAACGCACGTGAGTAACGCCTTGGGACGCAGGGGCTGGAGAATGAACTTCCTCGCGGACCTGCGGGGGAGCAACCCACGCACTGTAATGAGCTCCATCCGCATTCTTCAGCCTGTCCACACCTGCGGGCCGACACCTGTCCTGCACTAGCAGTTTGGACCGAGGCGGTAAGTAGGTAGGTAGGTCGGTCGGTCAGTGGTTTTCAAGTTGCCTACACCCGCACAGTGACTCTAGTCCACAGACGAGCGGCGGAAGAATGCTGAGCTTTACAAAGAGACAGCAGCGCTGAAGTTCAAGACATCCTCGGCGTAAAAAGGGACTGCGGAAGGGGCTGGAGCAATAGCACAGCAGGGAGGGTGCTTGCCCAGCACACGGCCAACCCGGGTTCGATCCCCGCCCTCCCAGACGGTTCCCCGAGCACCGCCAGGAGTGATTCCTGAGTGCAGAACCAGGAGTAAAGTCCTGAGCGGCACCTGGCGGGACCCAAAACAAAAGAACTGTGAGTGAATTAAGAAGAGGGAGCCAGAAGTGCCCAGAGTAAAAATTCTAGGTGCCAGAGAGACTGGCTAGCAGGTGAGGCAGTCGCCGAGCCAACACGCTGAAGACTTGGCCCCGTCCATATCGTTCTCACCCCCACTCTCCGGCCCCAGAACCCCCAGGAGTGATCCTTGAGCCCAGAGCCAGGAGTAGCCCCACCGCCCCCAGCACGACTTGGGCGTGGCACGAACGATCCTCCAAATTTTTCTCACGCTCGAGCCTCGCTACAGGGACCTCTATTTCTCCAGGGCTGTGTCCAGCTGGAACTTCATTCTGTTCAACTCTGCCTCTGGGGCCAGGGTGACAGCACCCAGAGCAGCCCTGGACTCAGTCCCCAGCTCTGCCCAGCTCTCCCAACCACCTGAGAACTCTGGCCTCCCACTATCCTAACAGGAGAGGCCCCCATCCTGCCCGCCTGCCCCTGTGACGCGAATTCTCAGTAATACAAACAGATTATTTCGTAACAATACATTTGAGCATCACCTCCCTCCGCGTTACCTTCCAAAACTTGGTCGCCTAAGCTACCACCAAAAGAATTACCGATATAACCGCAAAGGCTGGGGCTGGAGCAATGGGACAGCAGGGAGGGCACATGTCTCGCACACAGCCAACCCAGGTTCAATCCCTGGCACCCCATGTGGTTCCCAAGTCTGCCAGGATGAAGCCCCGAGCACAGAGCAAGAAGTAAGCGGTGAAGAGCAGCTGGTATAGTACAAAACAAAAAAGGCGCTGGAAGGTCTCTCTGTTAAGGGCGACTCATCTTTAATTCCAAAAAAAAAAAAAAAAGTCTAAACAAAGCTTCATTTAGAAATTTGTTCCATTAGCGGATGAGATGGAAATGACCCCGTATTGAACTGTTTTTTTTTGTGTTCAGTATTGAACATCATATCCTATTGATCTCACATTGGTGGATTTAATTTTCCACATTTATTTTGATACTCTGTCGACCTTGAAAAATGTTTTTCCAGCACCTCCACAGAGTCATTTGTTTCTTTACCTGGTCACTAAAAATGTTCAACATCCTCCAAGGAACAGGTAAGGTGAAGAGCCACAATTCGGATGATCCAGCATCTTTAACAGGGTTATAGGGGCTAGAGAGAGCACAGCTAAAAAGGAAAACACTTGCCTTGCACAGAGCCAATCGGGGTTCGATCCCCATCATCCCTTATGGTCCCCCAAGTAACTCGTGCCTATCACCAGATGGGGCCCAGAAACAAACAACAACAAAAAGAATGACATGTGTTACTGGTCTTTTGCACACAGCTAACCCCAGGTTCAATCCCCGGCACCCGGTATGGTCCCCTAAGCCCCCGAGTAGAGATTCCTGGGTTGAGAGCCAGGAGGAAGTCCTGAGCACCACCGGATAGGGCCCCCCAAAAAACAAATTTAAAAAAAAACTCTCAATCAGGGGCTGGAGAGATAGCACAGCGGGTAGGCCGACCCAGGTTCAATTCCCAGCATCCCATATGGTCCCCTAAGCACCGCCAGAAGCAACTCTTGAGTGCAGAGCCAGGAGTAACCCCTGTGCATTGCCGGGTGTGACCCAAAAAGAAAAAAAAAACTCTCAATCAAGGGCAACTCAGAATTATTAACAAATTAAGTAATTTCTCAGAGTTAAGGACTTCTAAAGCACATCCCTGCCTCAAAAGAACCCAACAGAATGAATGAAAAAAACGGGGCCCAGAAGGGGGTCTTCTGATGTCTACACAAAGGACCTGGTCTGGGCTCCCCTGACGGTGAAGAACCTGTTCAATAGTCGCTGACTTAAATCACAGCCCTGATGCACTTGAGAAAACAGAATCAGAGAGACGCCACTGGGTAGTCAGGATTTTGCAACCCCTGACTCTCTGCAACCTGCTCCTCCCTCTCCCACCAGATCCGTCACTCGCCCCATCCCTGGGGAAACCTCAGTCCCGGAGCCAACATCTGAACTATTCTGGGGCGAAGAGTGAAGCATGCAGCTAAGCCCAGGTTCAATCCCCGGCACCCAGCATGGTCCCCTAAGCCCCTCTGTCGACGAGGAGGCAACTCAAAGAGCCGGGCGGGATGGGATGGGAGTGGGGGGGCGGGTGGTCTTCAAAGGAAGGAAAAAAAAGTCAGGGCGACCACCAGGAATCCCTCCTACGCTGAGACCCTAATTGCCACCGAGGTGATGATGACAGTCCTACTAAATCCTGGAGCTGCGTGGCCCCTTGGAGGAGAGAGAGAGGGGGGTGGGGGGCGTTTCCAACGTCCCCTGCCTCCAGTTCAAGGCCAGCTCCACGCAGCAGCGACTGGAGGGGAACAAAACCGGAGGGGGCGGTGGATCGGAGACTGGCAGGGCAGCAACCTGCTAAGGAGACCAATGCCAGGGCATCTGCCTGCCTGCCTGTCTGTCTGTCTGCGGGCCACCGCACACGTCTGCCCGGGAACGGGCACCGACACTGGGACTCCCCCGCGCTGCCCCCGAAGCCCTCCACCCCGGTACCAGCCCTCCGGCTCGAGGCCCCAGATGCCCCTTTTGCAGCTCCGCAGTGAAGGCGCGTGCACGGGCGCGGGCGCGCGCGCCCACCCGCGTCTGCCCGGGGGTCTGCCAGCCCAGCCAGCCCCCGGGGGAGGGAGATGCACGGCCCAGGCGCCCTGCCTGCCCCTCCTCGGACCCCCCCCGACTCGGGAGGCAGCAGCCGGGGCTCGGCACGGGGCAGGCCGCCTGGCTCTGGGGGGCGCGACCGATGCCCCGCGTGCCCGCCCGGCGCGGGACCCCCGCCCGCCGCGAGGCGCCCCCGGGCCTCACCTCGTCCGCGCTCAGCTCCTCCATCGCTTTCCTCTTAATGGTGAAGGCTCCGGGGCGAGCTCGGTGCGTGGCGGCGGGCGCGGCGGGCGGGCGGGCGGGGGCTGCGGGGCGGCGGCCGGGCGCGCGGGGCCCCCCTCGGGGAGCGGCCTCAGAACTGCATCGTCAGAGGCCGCGCGAGCGAGAAGCGCGGGAGGCGGCGCGGGGCCGCCCCGCTCCCAGCTCGGGCCGCGGCGACGGGCGAGCCGAGGGCGCCGCTCCCGGGCCCCGGCGGCCTCGCGCCCCACGCGGCGGCGGCGGCGGCGACCCCGGCCCGGCCGCGGGGCCCCTGCACAGCGACCCCACCGCCGCCCGGGGCAGCCGAGAAGCCCCTCCCCGCCCGCGGCCGGCCGGCCACGCCCCGCGTCCGCGCCGGAGCCCGGGCCCAGCGGCCGGGAGGACGGCGCGGCCGACGCGCCGGTGGAAGGGCCAAGCCTGCGAGCCCCGCGCCCCGACTCTCACCCCGCGCCCCGCCAAGTATTATTCATCAAAACAACAGGGCGGCCATCTTTGAAAGGGATCACGTGACCCCGCCGGGGGGCGGGGCCTTGGGCCCCGCGGCGCGGCGGCCAATGGGCGGCCGCCGTGGCGCCGCCGCCGCCGCCCCGCCCCGCCCCCCCGCCCGGCCGGCCGCGGCCCCGGGCCCCGCCCCCGCCGCCCCTCCCCCGCGCCGCGCGGGCCGGGGGGGAGGGGCGCGCGGGCCGGGCGGCGCGCGGGGGGGCGGGGCGCGCGTTGCCTCGGCGACGGCGCGGGGGCGGCGGGCGCGGCCGGCCCGGGGACGCTCCCCCCCCCTCCCCGGGAGGCGGCGTTGGGGGGCGCCGGCCGACCCACGCCGGGGGGCTCGTCCCCTGCTCGGCGGCGGCCCCCGGGGATGGGGAAGAGCCACGGGGCAGCCCGGGGAAGCGGGGGGGGGGGGGGGGAGGCTGGCCTTGCACGGGGTGCCCCGCTTCCAGCCCCACCGGGAGGACCCCTCTGAGCATCGCCGGGTGTGACCCCAAAAACAAAGAAAAAACCCAAAAAAAAAAAGTGATGGTGCAACTTGGACGGAGCCACGCGGCCGGCACGGCGTGCGCACGCGGCCCGAGGAAGCCGCGCCGAACCTGGCTGCTTTTGGGAGCTCCGATTTGCAGGAAACTTCCTTTCCTTCCCTTTGTGTTTTGTTCCGTTTCCCTTTGATCTCCCTCTCCCGCAGCCCCGAGGCTCCCGGTGCCACGCGGTGCCCACGCGGTGCCCACGCGCCGCCTGCCCTGGGCGCCCGGCGCCTGCGTTTCCCTCGCCAGCAAGAAGCGGCCGGTTCGTTGTCGGGGACTCGGGGCCACGCCCTGCCGCGCCGAGGGGTCTCCGGGCTGCGGGTGCAGGGGTCCCGGCCCGGCTGGCATCTCCTCCCCGCCGCCGCTCTGCTCGGCCTCGGAATTGGACCGATGTACACGTTGCGAAGTGACGCGATCGTGGTCGCCAAAGATTTTTTTCTTGTGCAGCCCGGAGGGCACTTACTTGCCTTGCACGCGGCTGGCCCTGATTCGTTCCCTGCACCCCATGGAGAAACCACCACCCCCCACCCCAGCCCGCCAGAAGGAAGCCCTGAGCACTGCTGCGTGTTGCCAAAAGATGCATATAACATATAGAACGTCTTGATTTTTCCCTTGTGCGAAAGACTTGGAAGATGTGCAATCAGCAGTCTCTTTCCCAGCATAATAATAACACGCTGGTAACTGCCCGCCCCGTGCCAGGCGTTCCATCCCCAGGACTGAACTAGAAGTTTAGTTTTGGATTTTGGGGCCACCGCTGGCGCTCACGGCTTACTCCTGGCTCTGTGCTCGCATCATTCCTGCCAGTGTCCGGTGATCATCTACGGTGCAGGAATTGAACCAAGGTCAGCCACATGCAGGACAAACATCTTGACCCCTGCAATAACTCTTCACTGAAACACCCATCCCCCTCCTCTGCCCCCTTCCCTCCCTGCCCCATTTCCCATTGGCAGTGTTCAGGTTTACTCCTGGCTTGGCACTCAGGGAACACTCCTGACAATGCTCAGGGAATGATACTCGTGCCAGATATCAAACCTGGGTCGTCTTCAAACACGCCTTCTGGCTGCACGATCTCTCAGGCCCCAACAACTGTAAATTTGTACTTTTTTTTTTTTGGTGGGGAGGGGGGAGGAGGGAAGGGCCATACCCGGCAATGCTCAGGGCTTCCTCCTGGTTCTGCTCTCAGGAATCACTCCTGGCTGTGCTCTGGGAACCATACGGGATGTCAGAGATTGATCCCAGGTTGGCCGCATGCATGCAAGGCAACCGCCTTACCCACTCCAGCCCAAATTTGTGCCTTCTGACACCTTCATGCATTCTCCCCGCCTTCCCTCAACCATCAATATAGTCCTGAAAGACTGAAATAAATAAATTAAACCCAAGCGGATAAAGTAACAATGTTATGAAAGTTTCCGTTTTTCCAGAGAAAGAATGTACTGTATTGGGTGGTTTACTAAAAGAAGGATTGCATTAAAGAGAAGTTACAATTATATATATATACATATATATATGTTGCTATATGTTAAAATGGGCCAGAGTGATAGCACAGCAGGTAGGGCGTTTGCCTTGCACGAGGCTGACCCGGGTTCGATTCCTCTGCCCCTCTCAGAGAGCCCGGCAAGACACCAAGAGCATCTCGCCCGCTTGACAAAGCATGGCAAGCTACCTGTGACGTAGTCGATATGCCAAATACAGTAACAACAAGTCTCACGATGTTACTGGGCCCTTTCCTGCAAATCAATGAACAACAGGAGGACATTAACAGTGACAGATAGATAGACAGACAGAGAGATAGATAGATATTGCTATATACTTGAAATAGTAATGTCAAGACTAGGTATGTGAGGGATTTGTTAGTGAAATGGTATCACCGCAGGTTCCTATCTCCAGGAAAGGAATCCTGTGTAAGTCAAAGTAAGGACTTCTGGCCACATAATGACAACATTCACTCAAACCAAAAAAGTCCATTATTTCCATATAAGTCACAAGTCTACCTAATTCACCCATTTCAATTGTGCTTTGAAGCTCTGGAGAGGTAGTATAGTGGGTAGGGTTCTTGCCTTGCAGGCTGCCAACCGAGGAGTGCCATCTACAGCACCCCTGTAGGCCCCTAAGCCCAGCAGGAGTGACCCCTGAATGCAGAGCCAGGAGGAAGCCTATACACTACCAAATGTGGCCATTTTCATCAGGAAAGTAAGGCTGGAGTAGCTTTTTTAACTGGGTGACAGCCCTGGAGTGTGGTCATAACTGCTGAGGCTTCTGGAAGTACAAGGAGGTGGGGGTCGGGAGCCCATTCCGACCCCGAGAAAGGCTCGAGATTTCAGCCTTTAAAGTGTGCACGGAGCCTGCAGAGATAGTACGGGAGGTATAGTGTTTGCCTTGCATGTAATCAGCCCTGTTCATTCCCCGGCACCCCAGATGATCCCCCAACCCCCACCAGGAGTGATCCCAGAGTGCAGAGCCAGGAATAACCACTGAGCATCACCGAGTGCGGCTCAAAATCAGAAACAACCAAAACGTAATTTAAAATAATAAAGCGAGCCATCACCTTAGTGTTCTTACCTCATTGTTTACCCCTGTTGCTGATTCCAGGACATTTTCGTCATCCCCCAAAGAAACCTGCTTATTACCTCTCACTCCCTGGTCTCCCCAAGCTCCCTGTGGGCAACCTCTGGTACCCGCAGGCTCTGGTCTGGTCTGACCTTCACGTTTCTCTTCTGCGCCCGCTCAGCTTCTCCTTCAGGTTTCCCTGAGCCGGGTTGCGAGCCGGGCTGCAGAGGGGTGTGGCTTCTTCCACATAAGTCATTATTTCATATAAGTCACTATAAGAGGGTGTGATTGCGTGTCAGATGTGCGGTGTCTTCAGCTGTTCGTCAGGTACTAGACTGTCACTGTCCTCCCATTGTTCATGGATTTGCTAGAGCTGACCCAGTAACATTGTAAGACTTGTCACTGTGTTTGGCATATCGAATACATCACGGGTAGCTTGCCAGGCTCTGCCATGCAAGCGAGATACTCTGGGTAGCTTGCCAGGCTCTCCAAGAGGGGCGGAGGAATCGAACTCGGGTCGGCTGTGTCAGCCGCATGCAAGGCAAATGCCCTACCCGCTGTGCTATCGCTCCAGCCCAGTTACTAGACATCTGGGTTATTTCCCCAGCAAAGGCAACCCTGCCTTGGGAGGCTGCAAGCATCGGGAGTCTGCCATTGGTTAGACTCACTTTTCATACCCTTAAGTACCTAAAGGATATTTGTTGCATTTTTGTTTCTTTTTCTAATTTGTATTGAATATCTGTGAGCTAGACCATTACAAAGCTGTCCATGATTGGGTTTCAGCCATACAAAGATCCCACACTCGTCCACCAGTGCACGCCTCCCACCACCAACGTCCCCTGTCTCCCTCCCAACCATCCCCCAACAACCCTCCCCACCTGCCTCTATGGCAGGCACCCCTCCTCCCTCTTTCCTTTCGTGCATCATGGTTTGCAATGCAGGTGCTGAGAGGTTATCATGTGTGTTCAGGACTTCAGTATTTCCATCAGGAAAGTAAGGCTGGAATAGCTTTTTTAACTGGGTGGCAGCTCTGGAGTGTGGTCATAACTGCTGAGGCTTCTGGAAGTACAAGGAGGTGGGGGTCGGGAGCCCATTCCGACCCCGAGAAAGGCTCGCGATTTCAGTCACAAAACCCGCATACCTGAATTTTCAGCACATTGTATCTTGGTGAGGTCCTTCCAAAGTTGTGGGGTCCAACTGGGGCATGGCAGCAATTTTTTTTTAATATTTGCCTTTATTTTTATTTATTTATTTGTTTTTTGCTTTTGGGTCACTCCCGGCGATGCACAGGGGTTACTCCTGGCTCTGCACTCAGGAGTTACTCCTGGCAGTGCTCAAGGAACCATATGGGATGCTGGGAATCGAACCCGGGTCGGCCGCGTGCAAGGCAAACGCCCTACCCGCTGTGCTATCTCTCCAGCCCCTGGCAGCAATTTTGTATTGTGGGAGCAAGCGACTGGGGGAACTCTGCTTACACAGACACCGGGGTGACTCACCCCCATCCAATT